GTATTACACCTGTTATGTATAATGAAATTGAATTTCCTTGGGATAATGTTAAGAAACATTTGTTGAATCATGAGAATTTAACTAAAGAAATTGTTATTTTACAACATAAGGTTTATTCCACCTTTGAAAATAAGTTGCAAAAAATTGATGGTGATCAGATCTTGAGAGGTATTGCTGATGGTATTGAACAAATTAATCCTATTACTAAGATTCAAGGTTTGATTGGAAAGTTCTATCAGATCATTAACTTTGTTTTTAATTTTAAGATTGATTTTGTATGTGATTTGTAGAAGAGTTAAGAATGCTGAGGTCCTACAGCAGGTAGCTTCCAAGCTACTTGAAAACAAAGCTGCAAAACTTAATTCTTAGAATTAAATTGCGTGCTTGTAAAATAGATTACCCCCTTGCTCCATCTGTTGATTTTTACTCTATAGAAATAAAGTTTGGAATGCAAACCATTTTAACATCCAACTTAAAATGGTTGTTTTTAAGTCAGTTTTCCAGACTCAGTGTCTCCTTTTAAGGTTAGGATAGAATAGGAATGTTAATTATAGATTATTGATTGAAGTGGCGTACATGACTTACTGACTATAAAAGACCCTTTGAAATAAAGATGATTGCTACTTGCCATTCCGTGAGCAGTAGTCTGTTTCTTGCATCCATACAATTTTAGGTACGGACTTACACCTGGGGCGAAGCTCTCTCCATTTCCCTACAGAACCTTCAACTGACAGTCTGGTCTGGCAGAAAGTTTAAGCAGTTGAATAGGTCACTCACTTCCTCCACTCTGCCTCATGCTACACTGTCCCTATGCTATCATCCACATAATGTCCCTGCACAGTCTTCCGTGGCCTCTGTGCACAGGAAGACTGGAGGACCATTGTGGCTTCTGTTATTGGAAGAAGGGCTGGGCAACACTATGCCTGCTGCCAGCTGCCACCAAATGAAAGAGGTGAGGTAGGAAATGTATGTTGATCTTGCTAATAATTTTTAGAATCATGTCATGTATAATTATGTTCACTGTATTAATAGATAAAAAACAATAATAGAGCTTCCTGGCTCGGCGCCTGTGGCTCAACCGGCTAAGGCGCCAGCCACGTACACCTGAGGTGG